CCAGCAATTCTACTCCTAGGCACGTACCTGAAAGTAGTTGAAGTGGCAAATATTGTTACATATACATTACCGCAATTTAAAAAAAAAAAAAATCACTTGAAATATAATAATATAGGCAGGTTGAAAGTAGTAAGATAAAAAGGTATCACATAAACATTAATGTAAAGAAAGCATATTGGCTATATTAATATCAGATATTAGTAGTAGATATTAATCTTCAAATAGACTTCAGGATATAGAAAATTACCAGAGATGGATAGGGACATTGTATAATGTGAATTGGGCCAATTCACCAAAACAATATAGCAATCTTGTAATAAATGCAAATGCACCAAATAACACAGCTGCAAAATTTGTGAAGCAAAAACTGATAGAACTGAAAGAAGAAACAGAAATCAGCAAGTATAGTTGGAGATCTTCTCTCAACAACTGAAAGAACAGGACAGAAAATTAGAAAGATACAGAGGAATTCAACAGCACCATCAACCAATGGGATCTAATTCACATTTACAGAACCCACACAGCAACAGCAGAATACACATTCTTTTCAAATACCTGCAGAACATATACCTAGAAAGACCATACTGTGGGCCATAAAACAAACAACAAATTTAAAAATTTAAATTGCACAGAGCACGTTCTCCAACCACAGTGGAATAAAATTAGAAAACAGAAAGACAACAGGAGAATCTCGAAACACTTGGAAAGTAAACACCAGATTTCTAAATAATCCATGGGTCAAAAAGTAAGTCTCAAGAAAAATAAAATTATATACTGAACTGAATGAAAATGAAAACACATCACAAGTTGTGGGAAACAGCTAAAGCAGTGCTGAAGGGAAATTTATAGCATAAACATAAGAGCAGAAAGGAGAAAAAAGCTCAAATCAGTAAGTCAACCTTTTACTTGAAGCACCTAGAAAAAGAAGAAAATAAACTCAAAGCAAGTAGAAGGAAGAAAACAGATAAATGGCATTTAAAACAAAAATAGAGAAAAATCAGTAAAACGAAGAGCTAGTTCTTGGGGGGAAAACTAATAAAATTGGCATACCTCTGTCAAGACAGAAAAAGAAAAGATAAAAAGAGGGAGAAGACACAAATTACCAGTATCAGCAATAAAATGGAATATCACTAACAGACCTTACAGGCATTAAAAGGATAATAAGTAAATACTACAAACATATAAATATGACAACTTAAATGAAATAGACAATTCCTTGAAAAATACAAACTATCGCAACTCACCAAATATCAAAAACAGGTAATTTGTAAATCTGTAATTTAAAATCTCCCCAAAAAGACATATCGAGGCCCAGATGGTTTCACTGGTGAATTCTATCAAACATTTTTTTTAAAAAATTAACACCAATTCTACACAATCTCTTGCAGAAAATAGAAGAGGACAACACTTAAAATTCATTTTATGAAGCTAGTATTACCCTGATACCAAAACCAAAGAGAGAGAGAAAAAAAAACACCAGTACAAAACCAGAAAACTACAGTCAATATCCCTCATAAACATAGATGCAAATATCCTTTAAAAAAATTAGCAAGTAGAATTCAGCAATATATAAAAAGAATTGTATACTATGACCAAATGGGGTTTATTCCATGGATGCAAGGTTACTTCAGTATTTGAAAATCTACTGTATAAATCAACACCCATTCATGATAAATACTCTCAGAAAAATATGAATAAAAGGGAACTTCCTCAACTTGATAAAGTACATTTACAAACAAAAAATCTACAGCTAACATTATGCTTAATGGTGAAAAATAATGCTTTCCCCCAAAGACTGGGAACAAGGCAAGGATGTTTACTCTCACCACTCTTATTTCAACGTACCGCTAGAAATTCTAGCTAGTGCAATATAGCAAGAAAAGGAAGTAATAAAAATACAGATCAGAAAGGAAGAAACAAACTATATTTGCAGATGACATGACTGTTTACATAGCAAGTCCAAAGAAATCTTAGAAAAAAAAGAAGCCTCCTAGAATGAATAAGTGAGTTCAGCATGATAGCAGGCTATAAGACAAACATATAAAAACCAACTAGCAATGAACATGTGGATACTGAAATTAAATATACAATACCACTTACAATCACTCAAAAAATGAATACTTAGATGTAAATCTAACAAAACATGTACAGAACTTATGCTGAAAATTACGTAACACTTATGAAAGAAATCAGAGATTTAAATATATGGATTGGAATGCTACTTCTCAAATTAAGTGGTTCAGCAGAATACCTATCAAAATTTCAACATTTTTTTGTACATATAGACAAAGTTATTCTAAAATTTGTATCAAAAGGCAAAATAGTTCTGCAAAAGAAAACAAAGTGAGAAGAATGAGTCTGCTCAAATTCAATACCTTAGAGACAGCTACACTAATGAAGCTATAATTGTGGGAAGGACAGGGATCAAATGAAACAGAACAGAGAACCCACAAAGAGACCATACAAACATGCTCAACTGATTTTTTACAAAGTTGCATAAGTAATTTAAATGGTGACGGAGCAACTGGACACATAAACAACAACAACAACAAAAACTATGACCTAAGTCTTATACACTTTATACAAAAATTAATTCAATATGGGTCAAGGACTTGTATGTAAGATGTGACACTATAAAACCTTTATTTAAAAAAAGAAAAGACAGAAAAAAACATTCTTTGATGGTTACCAAAGAAGGGAGAGGAAGAAAGTGTAAATTACTAAATAGAAGACACGAGGTAATATTGGTGAAGAGAAAGGCAATACACTATACAGGGGAAATCAGCACAATAATGACAAAGGCAAAGGAAGACACTGAAAGGAACACAAGAACAAAGGGCAACTATGGCAATTACCATAACACAGGCAATCTTGCAACAACAGCACTGACGAACAATAATTTATAAAGGGATACATAAGTAGACAGATATGCTAAAGAGGTGTAGGAGGATGTAAGGGAGCACACCTACCTGCAGATACAGGTTAGGTTGTGGCATCTCTACATACATGTTTGTATTGTTATATGTATACTAACTTAGACAACAGAACACACAAAGTGCACAGTCATGAAAACTTCTTATGCACAATCAAACATCTACTGGGACAAAGATAATAGGCTTGAAGGCTAAAGACCATACACTTGGGGAACATCTATGTCAACTGGCATAGTGCATAAAAACAATGTTCTACAACCTACATTGATGAGTAGTGTCTGGAGTCTTAAAATCTTGCAAGCGGCCAACTAAAACACAACTAGTGGTCTCTTCCCATCCAGAGTAAAGGAGAGTGAAGAAAACCAAAGACTCAAGGGAGCAATTAGTCCAAAGGACTAACAGACCACAAGCACCACAACCTACATGACCCTGAGACCAGAATAACTAGATGGTGCCTGGCTATCGTTACCAACCACTCTGACTGGGATCACACCAGAGGGTCCTGGACAGAGTGCGAAAAAATTGTAGAACAAAAAATCAAATTCATAAAAAAAGACCAAACTTATTGGCCTAAAAGAGACTAGAGGAACCCCCAAGACTATGGCCCTAGGACGCCCCTCTGACTTGGACCTGCAGCCATTCCCAGAAACCACCTTCCAAGTCAAGCAACAGACAGGCCTAGAAAATAAATACCACCACCCGAAAATAATGTGCTCCGCAGAACAGTTACACGAGACCAAACGGACAACAGTTGCCCAGAAGTAGAGATGGGAGGGCAGGAAGGGGTAGGAAAACCAGATGAAAGGAAATGGGGAACCCAGGGCGGAAACGGGGTGAGTGATGACAGTGTGGGGATTGCAGTCAACGTCATGGAACACTTAGTATACAATTTGTGGAATGAGAAACTAACTTGCTCAGTAAACTTTCACCTGTAACACAATAAAATTTTTTTTTAAAAAGGAGAAAAATCCTTGCGGGAATGGAAATGTTCTATATCTTACCTATGTGTTAATATCATGGTTGTGATATTGTACTACAGTTTTGCACGATGTTACCATTGGGAAAAAACAGGTAAAGGATACAAGGGATGTCTCTATGAAAAGTACAATCATGACCAGTTACCACATTATTTTACATATGTGGAATATCTGAGCCTCAATCACACTTATTAACCATTACTTTTAATTATTATATATTAATTTTAACTTTCTACTTTAAATATACTGAGTGCCCTGGTGGCACAGTGGTCAAGGCGCTCGACTGCTACCCAAAAGGTCATCAGTCTGCAACCACCAGTGGCTCCGCAGGAGAAAGATGTGGCAGTCTGCTTCTGTAGAGACTTACAGCCTTGGAAACCCTATGGGGTTGCTATGATTTGATTTTTTAGGGGGGAGTTACTTTAAATATAAATGCCTTGGAAAAAAGGCAGTGACATTTCCAGAGCTACTGGTAAAAAAAAACTTACATCTTCAAGCAAAATAATCTACATTGTTCTACAGTGATGACCTGTCACTAAAATCTAAGAACCTAAAGTCCAATTCAGGCCATATTTATGCTGCCCCGGCAAAAAGCCTGAATTTTCCTAATCAACAGATAAATTATTAACAAACCAATGAATAATTAACGTGCACCTTCTACTTGTCAAACGCTTCTGGAGGTTTCCCTCTATATTTTCATCTCTGGAATTGAAACTATGATTCTACGAGATAAATACTGGTTGGAAATTCATTCAGCTACTGTGATAAATCCAACTGGGGTAACTCCACATCACCCACTGTAACCTTGGTATTTCTTAGCCTTCCAAGTTCTAACTCCGTTAATAAATATTTATTTGGAGTAAACCACTTGTTTCTCATAACGTCCACAATATGCAGTCACAAGCCTCCAACTTCCTCAATAATTATTCCAAGCTTAGAGCAAGAAGAAATGTTCAGACAAAGCCTATTCCAAAAGGTCTCCCAGCTATAGTGCATGCAATTTGGTCTCAATTACCTATTTATCATTCTTACTTTTAAAACTTCTGAAATTTACTGCCACAATGTTTGAAAAAAAAGTTTATGTTCTTACAAATGATTTGTTCATGGCACGTTTCACTTCATCAGAACCATCTGAATAGATCTGTTGAAACAATTTATTTAAAGCTGCATCTCCCTCCAACTTTTCATTCTTTTCTTCTTCTTTGATCTCACCAACCAATTTATCCCAGTTTCTTGTATAATGAGATGATGATGGATATAAGTTCTTCACATCTGTGAAATAAGAAGGCAAAAGTGATTAATCAACATGTTTTGATCATGTTAAGGATATGTAACCTTTGTAGTCATGGTGTATAGAACATCTTAGCAAATACTTTAGGTCACTGAATTTCATGTTTGTAAAAGTGTCTTTCTGATATATACATCAATAACTAGATTTACACTAGTAAAAATGGAATCAGCACAATGTAAAATCTGGGAACTACTTCTGAGCAAAAAAATTCAATGAAGGATAAACTTATGGTACAGTATGCAAAATTAAAGACAGATCCATCACATTAATAATAGGAGAAAATGGGCAAAACGGTGAGAGGTATATGGGTGCTTTTAAACTTACAGAAAGGCTGCAAAGATATTACAAACTATTCTAAAAATAAAAACTTTGTTTTTTAAAAAAAGATGCTTCATTTAGAATTTTCTCTTGTAAACAGGATTTTAACGGATGTTTAAAATGTGACTTTTTCTCAGGTACTCAAGTATCTTTTCAGACTAGAAATACACTGAAAATATAAATCATCATCCATGTCACTTGACAGTGAATTAAGACTACATCCTCTCCCCACATTAAAAATATAAGATTACTTCAATAGGAGATATCAGAAATCTTTGAATGTTGAAAAATACTACTTGATCGAGTGCAATGCATATTTAGAAAATAATAGTACTTGCAGGGCATACTGGAGTAAATGGAGGTTCACTGCAGCCACAGAGGTTAGTGGTTCAGTGGCTCAGGGCACCTCCAAGGCTGCCCCGAAGACCAAGACAATCAAGATCTTGGCAAGAAAGTCATATAAGTAATTAAAAAATAACTAGCTGACCTAGTAACTATAGCAGCTCTGTTCAATGACAATTATAATGGAAGCCACAAATGTGAGCCACATATGTAATTTAAGATTTTCCAGTAGCCACATTAATAAAACAAGTAAAATTTGTTTTAATAATATATTTTATTAAACTTAATACATCCAAAATAATACCTTTTCTACATGAGATAAACATAAAAATATTAAGATATTTTACATCCTTTTTTTCATACTAAGTCTTTGTAATCTGGCATTACATTTTACACTTACAGCATATTTTAATTTGAACTAGTTACATTTCAAGTGTTCAAAAGGGTCATGGAACTAGTGGTCACTATATTTGAAAGTGCATCTATAGAGCTTTTTAAAAACCTGATTCCAAGTTTCCTAACTAGTCTATTAGGACATAATCCTAATCTAAATGTCCCTCCTCCAATACTGCCTGCCTCTCTATATCCCTTTCCTCAAAATAGCTGAGAAACTACTAATGGTTAATTCTGTTTTTCCATCCTTTCTCTTCACCTGTAAGCCGACTAGCCCCTTGTCCATCCCCCTTCAAAAAGAAACAAAAAACTCTGTTCAGAGCAAGTATACTGTTTAAAACTCTATCCATCTTCCTTCTACCACTAATCATCTCTATCTCTATACATTTTCACTAGTTACCAGATAAACAAACAAAAATACATGCCATGGTAAATTCAAAATATAGGAAACATAGATTTAATTAATCCTAACACTGACTCTCAAGAAAGGTGGGAACAGAGGTTCTAATCTCCATCTTACAGATAAGAAAACCAGCACAGATAGCTTAAGTGAATTGCCCTTATCTGCCGTCTCCAGCTTGCAGTACACAGGAATCTGACAAGCATATTAATTTGTTACAAAAATGTAACAGGACAGGAAGAATAACATCCTGAAGAAGGCTTTGAGTTTAGAAACTTTTTAAACTGTAATACTAAAAAAAAATTTTATATTTAATGTCAGAAAAACCTTAACCCCTGTAGGTGATAGATGATGAACTGCTGAAAAGATGGATAACCTAACTTTTGTGCTCATTCACAATATATCAAATAACTGCAAAGATACTCATGTCAGCAGAGACTGCATCCATTCTTAGAAAATGCAGCGACAAGCAGTATCAAATGGAGTTCACAGAAGAACCAGACCCCTACTCTGAAGACCTAGGTTTTAGTCCCAGACAATGACAACCACTGGGTGATCTTAACCAAGTTGTTTAATCTTTTTGAGCCTGTAAAACAAGAACAATAATACTGGGCTGCCTACTGTTGTTTAGATTAAGTGAGATACTACATTTAAAGTATCTTAAAAAAAAAAAAATGCTTTGAGCTATATATAAACCTCAACCAAAATACCTCTGGGGAGTCAGTCCCAAGAGAGGCAGGTAACATTCTTACTATGTCTTTCAAATAAAATGTGAAGCAGCAGCTTAATTAAATCCTTTAGGTACCAGCCTGAAATACTTCAGTCCTTAAAATTATCTGTTGATGTTATATTTCCTGGTTTTGCTAATTATAATATGGTTAGTTAAGATGTTCTCATTGGGAAAATCTGGGTGAGAGGTACACAAGAACTATTAGTTTTGCAACCTCTAAGTGAATCGGAAATTATTTCAAAATAAAAAGGATAGATAAGTAGACTTATATTTATTGGATAACTCAGTGTTTTCAAAGAAGCTGCCACAAAGATAGTGTTTTCTGTTATAGAAGAATGTAGTCAAAACCTAAAAGTAGCTGAAAACAGTGTTATCTTGTTTCAGTCACCAAATCAGAGCACTAGCTCTAATTTAAAAAAAAAAAAAAAAAAAAAACTCCATTCATTAATGAGGCTATTTCTGTAAAATACAATCTTATAGTTCTGAGAATATCCTACAATTATTCCATTACAAAAAATGTAGCCTACCTGCTCATTGCATATGCTTAAAATTCCATCTTTAAATTAGCAGTATCCAATGTGCTAGATTCCAGGAAATTATAGCAGACAAAATCAGCAGAAGGAACAGAAATGAATGAATAAACGAAGGGTAGGAGGAAGGGGGAAATGTTAGCAGGGAAAACTACTAATTCACTTACAACCCAAAGGGAAGCAACTACGAAAGGTCAACAAACAACCTCCAACTGATGTCATAAACTGACCCAGTAAACAGTAAATCCCAACTCCATCTAGGATTTTGTTGCCATTCATTTTGTATTCATAAGAATTTAAGAAGAATCTTCATTTTTTAAAAAAAGCTACTTTGTATTCATTATACAGCAACCTTATTATACTCAGTGTATCTTATCTTGGAAACATAAATAATGAAAGTAGAACAAATACTCTATGCTATTTAATTTGAACACAATTTATGAATTTAAAGGTCATCAAGGCCAGAAAACAAACCTGCTATGAACTGTTTTGGTTTAGGCACATCTCCTTCCCCCTCTAGCTTTTCCCATCTCACAGCCTCTGGCTTTTTCATTTTAATTTCAATCTGTAGAAAATATCAAATAAAATCCATTACTCAATGTAAAATACACAAAGGAGTTTAAAAACACAACTTTCTTAAGTCACCAAACTTTTGTAAGAATTAAGTGTCCTTGGCATAGTTTCTTTAAATTAAACAAAGCTAAATTTGAAGAACTATGAAACAGTTATCTTTGTTTCTACACTTAAAATTCACCCTTCAAATACAATGCACAGACTAAGCTGCAATTAAGTCTTGAAATCCACGTGTTTTTCTTCTAAAGCAGTGACTACTAAGGGTGATTCTGCCTCCCAGGGGACATCTGGCAAGCCTGGAGACATTAATGGTTGTTACAACTTGGGTGGTGGTAGGGCTGGAGGCGCTATCGACAACTAGTGAGTAGAGGCCAGGGATGCTACTAAACATCCTACAATGCACAGCACAGCAGATCCTCACAACAAAAAAATTACCCAGCCTGAAATGTCAATAATGCCACCACTGAGAAACCCTGTTCTAAACAAACCACTATACTTACATGCACATTAATGTGTTTTAGAATGGAAAGATTTATTTCATTGTATTAAAATACAACTAACGCTAATATTTTTACAATCATTCATTCAACAAATAATTACTGAACACCCACTATGAGCAAAGTATTGCCTTCAGGGGTATGAGGGATTTTTAAAATATTAAAGACAGGTACCTCACCAACTGGAAGTATGTGAGATGCTTGAAGAAAGTTATTCAAGAGACAAATACACCCCCTCATCACTTACTGACATGGTTAGGTTCCAAAGATGAGGCCGTTCTACAAAAATCAGCATTATGCAAAAATGGAGGATGACCACATCACATCACAAAATGGAGGATGATCACATCATTACTTAACTGCCAAATTACATCATTACACAACTGCCAAAACCACTGAGAATCATGGCCCAGCCAACATGGCACAAAACCTTAACTATCACAGTCAGCGTTACTCTCACTTCGTACCTTGGCATTCATTACTGCCAGATGTACGTCGTTAATGTGCAAAATAGTCTGATAATAGATTTTTTTTTATCATTGTCATAAATGCAAATTGTTGGATAAAGATATAGTCGATAGGTAAGGATTAGGCATAAATGTTCTAAGAATGCAGGAGAGATCACATCTGGCTGCAACAGGAAACATTTCAAGGCACCTTGAAGAGCTCGGAGAGGTAGAAGCACTTCCAAGAGTGGGAGTAGGTCTCCAGAGGTAAACGGAACGGCCTACAACTAAAGGGCATAGTGCATCAAGAAGGACAGAGAAGGTCAATTTGTCTCAAGTCTAGGATTTATGTTAGCGTAGTGAAAAATACAGATGGAAATAAAGATAGAAGGCAGACTATGAAGAACTACTGAACGCTAGGCTAATAAGTTCACTTATTAAAATGAAAAACAACATCCTAATAGCATATTTGGAGTCCCTGAGTAGCACAAATGGTTAAGCACTACTTAGCGCTACTAACCGAAAAGCTGGTGATTCCACAGCCACCCAGAGACCCCTCAGAACGTCTGGCAATCTGCTTCCAAAAGTCAAAGCCTGGAAAACCCTATGGAATGCACTTCTACTCTGCACACATGGGGTCGCCATGAGTCAGAATCAACTCAACAGCAACTGCTTTGGTTGTTTTTGGAATAGCCTATCTTATGTTGTCATGGATTGAACTGTGCCCCCAAAAATATGTCAACATGGCTAAGTCATGATTCCCAGTATTGTATGATTGTCTACCATTTTGTCATTTGATGTGATTTCCCTGTGTTGTAAATTCTATCACTATGATGTAGTAAGACGGATGAGTAGCAGTTATATTTGATGAGGTCTACAAGATCAGATAGTGTCTTAAGCCAATCTCTTCTGAGATATAAGAGAAGCAAGCAGAGAGATAGGGGAACCTCATACCACCAAGAAAGCAGTGTCGGGAGCAGAGCATGTCCTTTGGACCTGAGGTTCCTGCGCTGAGAAGCTCCCAGACCAAGAGAAGACTGATGCATCACAAGAACCTTCCTACAGAGCTGACAGATAAGAGAATGCCTTCCCCTGGAGCTGACGCCCTGAATCTGGATTTATAGCCTACTGGACTACGAGAGAATAAACTTCTCTTTGTTAAAGCCATCCACTTGTGGTATTTCTGTTATAGCAGCATTAGATGACTAAGACACTCTCTAATCAAGGCTGGTCCCCTAGAGTTTACCCTTACTCCTAACACCTAGTTAAATAGCACTCATATCTACCTTTTGTTTTCCTTTCTCAAATAATGTTCTCACTCTCATTTTTAGCCTGGCAAAACCTAGCGTTTTTAGTGAAAATATTAACGTAAATATAATTAATAAACATCATTATGCAGATTGAGGATGTAATTAGAATTTTATATTCTAATCCTGTTTTCTACAAGAAGGATCATTACTTTTATAAACAGAAAAAAATATCAAAAGATAGATTTACAAAAAGAGAAGTCTATTCATTATTTGGTCCTTTTATTCCTTTGTATCAAATGAATCATTTAAATTCGTATCCTCTGGTAATCTTTCTACCAACTGCATTTGTAGTGAGAAAACACTTAAAGTTTGCACTTTAAAAGACCTTAACAAGCACCAACATAGAAAAAACCATCAATATTCTCAATCAGATATGAAGTGATGGTATGAGGGAGTGGTGGTCTTAGGAACACAGAGATATAACAAAGGTAATTGTTTTCACAGTAAGGAAAAAAAATGAAGCAAATGTCACTGGGACAGGGCAAAAAGTATAATGCTTTCAACATAACTTTTATGTTTAAATTCTACATAAATAAAAACAAGTATTTTACAAGAGCCTCTAGAATTCCCTGATCTGTGATTAATTTTTATAAAGTAGCACCAATATTTTCTCATCTACAATATTAAGTGAGGTTACTCTGCCTACCGTAAGCTGTCACTACTGGGATATTTATCAAAAGGAGAAACAAATCCAATAGCTGACAATGACACAGCTACAGTTAATGAAAAGGGCTTTAATATCACCCCAAAATTTAAAAATGCATTTGCTCTCTTATTTTTCAACTAATGTGGAAATGAAGGCCTAGAAAGCAGTGTGCAAATCAGCACTATCCTTACTAAACTCAGCCACATGCTGTTTCACCTCATGTTCTTGTACAATGCATTGTCTATAAAAAAGTTCCTTGCTTTACTCGAAGAGCAGCACAAACTAGCACTTGGATCTAACTCAAAGCCACTATAACCTGAAAAGCTGTGCAGAATTATGAACAAAGAGGCCTTTATAAAGCCAAAAAACAAGGCTCTTAATAACAACCAGTTTCAACAGACATGCTGACCTGAACTTCAAATTATACTTAATTCATTAAAATAGCTGCATGTAAAGAACCATTTAAGCAGCTTTTTTAAAAAGGTGGAAAGGGAGGAGTGAAGACAAATTTTCTTGAATTCCTTTTTACACCTACTTCACTTTCAATGCTTTTATATGCTTTTAAAAATGAAGCTTCAAGTCTTGATTCTGGCAAATATTTCTAGAATTACCACTAGTCCAATTTCAAATGTTTATTGCAATCACTAATAAGCCACTCTAATTTCATTTATGCCAAAATACTTTGTACTATCATCCACCTCTAAGGTCTCCTCTGCATGGAAAAGTCTGCTGGGGTTTTTCAATGAAAGGAACTCAACGGATTTGGAAAAGAAGGGAGAAGTCATTATGCCCAGGCAGTAATGGCATCGATGTGGCCTTTGTAGGAAGCGGTTAGCAGGCTCTCCCACTTTCTGCTACAGACTAACAGTGAAGAGATCTTTCCCAAAGACAAGGTAATGGTGGCAGTTCACTGGCAAACTTTTTTTCTGGCTAATTTTTTAGAACCATCTGTTTCAAGGCTGTCAACATCAAACAATCATTCCTCTACCTTCAAATTAAAGTCTTCCTGAGGTTCTCTTACCCAGTTCTTTGCATACTTAATTGCTATATCAAACCCTTTACCCAGTCACAGAGTAGCTTGGTCTTCCTGCCTGAGGCCAGACTAATGTATCTACCTTCTTTATTTTTACACTCAAATTGTTTTATAATCATTTTTAAAAATGTAAAAGATGGATGCAATAAATGGAGGAGGAGGAACTATAAAGTATTCTCCAGAATTCTAACAGCTCCGTTCAAATATTGTACTGAGTGCCTACTCTGAGACTGAGTCCCTGGGTGGTACACACAGTTAACACACTCAGCTGCTAACTGAAAGGCTGAGGTTCGAGTCTACCCAGAGATGCCTTAAAAGAAAGGCCTGGCAATCTACTTCCAAAAAATCAGCCAATGAAACCCTATGGAGCACAGCACTATTCGCACACATATAGGGTTGCCATGAGTCAGAAACTGACTCAGCGGCAACTAGTAACTGGTGCTGAGCCAGGCTCTGTGCTAGTACTTAATGACACTGTACCTGTTCTCTTCTAGAACTGATGAGAAACATTCCCATGAAGAAAAAACTGCAGTATGTGTCATATGTAATGACAGACCTAAGTACCTACTAGAAGATATCTAGTTGCCTAGGAAGAAGTATGCCAAGATGTCATTGGTCACGAGACTGATTATTTTCTCAACTCCCTTATACTTCTCCAAATCTAATGATATGCATTAATGCTTTTACAGCCTGAATAAAAATCTAAACAATCAAGATTTTAAAAAATCATAATCACAGCAGTAATTTATTGAGCACTTATTATACACCCCGTGTGCTAAGTGCTTCACATACATCACCTCCCTTAATACAACAACCCCATAAAAGCAGATTAGCATCCACATCTTAGAGAGGAGGGATCCAAGGCTAAGGGAGATAAAATAACTTGGCAGAAGTTATTTTTTAACTAGAAGCTTTACTGTTTTCTTCAGAAAGAAGCAGGAGTGGAGAACAAGACAAAAAACAATCTGTTGTGGTTTTTAACTAGAATAAAAAGAATCACAAACAAGTGCCACTTGTTGGATATATGACCATGACCATTAAAAATCTCACTGAGCCTCAGTTCCTCCTATACAATGGGAATAACAATAATGCCTATTAAGATTCCCGTGAGGATTAAATGAGACCATGTATCAAATGACGTACTGGATTGGGCAAATTTGCTGCAGAAGATCTCTTTAACGCTTTAAAAAGCAAAGATGTCATTTTGATGACTAAGGTGCATCTGATCCAAGCCAAGGTCTTTTCAGAAGTCTCATATGCATGTGAAAGTTGGATAATGAAAAAAGAAGACAGAAGAATTGGTGGGTTCAAACTGGGGTGGTGGCAAAGAATACTGAATACACTGTGGACTGCCAGAAGAAGGAACAAATCAGTCTTAGAAGAAATACAACCAGAATGTTTCTTAGAAGTGAGGACGGCGAGACTTCAACTCGCTTACTTTGGACATGTCATCAGGAAAGACCAATTGCTAGGAAAACATAACACATCTGATAAAGCAGAGGGCCAAAGAAAACCAGGGAAACCCTCAATGAAATGGACTGACACAACAGTCACAACACTGGACTCAAACCTACCAATGATCATGAAGATGGTGCAGGACTGGGCACAGATTTCATTGTTATACATAAGGTCGCCATGAGTCAGAGCCAACTCGAAGGTAACTAACAACATAACAACATGAAAAGATCATAGCACTGTCTGGCAAATAACCAACAACTAAATGCTATTATCAATATCGTCATCATAATTAGCTAATAAACTTCGGTAAATTACTTAACATCTCTGTGTTCGGTTTCCATACCTGTAAAATGGAGTAAAAACACCTCTATCATACAGTGACTGTGAGGATTGCATAAGATAATACATAGCACCATGCCTGGATATGACAAGAACAGTCAAAAATGTTAGCTACTATGTAACTCTCTCCACAGGCCAAATAATACACGACTGGATAAAAGAGCTGTAGTACATGCACACACTGGAATCCTTTGCTATTGCATATTTAAGGGTATGGAAAAATATCCACAATACATGACTAAGTTTAAAAAGGCAGCCACAGAACAGGATGTGTGGCAGAAGTATTTTCCTCTGAAGATAAATGAAAAGAAGATTCCAATATCTACAAGTGATATACTCCAGTAACTAATTCAATTTAAAAAAAAAATCACCATTACCACCACTGTATCAAAAACAACAACAGAAAACAAATAAAAAACCCATAGTAGCATCATGCCCAGACACCCCCACTCCAGTACATCATCACTGAGATTATTCTATGTATATTAACAACAAGAATTTACTCTAAAACTTCTTAAATTTTAAGTGGTAAATAGGGGACATGGGAACTATTCAGTCTCTAAGGAAAGACAGATGATTTTAATTTTCCAGTCATTCCAGTTAAAAGCCTTCATCTTTTACATTGGTATAACACAGAAAAATTGACTAACAATAGGAATACAAGAACATTTCCAGAAAAGCAAATTTACTCCAAAGGATTTTGAGAATTCTGGTTTTTATTTAAAGGGAATGAATGTTAATATTTAAAATAAGTATTTCACAGCCTAGCTTTTTCTACATTGAACTCAAAATCCCACAATTATGACCAAAGAATGCTGTCATGAAATTAACAAGATGGAACAAAAAAAACCCTAAAGTTTCTTAATAAAGAAAATGGATTAGCAGGTAGACACGAAAGCTGGTAAAAAAGATACTAAAAAAATATGAATTCTAGCTTACAAAATACATATTAGATATTTAATTGTTAAATACGTAGTTAAACACTATATCATTAATTTAAGGGTTTTAACTCTTTGTATTTTCATTGCAAATTATACTTCCACTCAAATTAATAACACTTAACCAATACATTGATATGCAAATATTCATTCAACCTTGAAGGTGGGAAAGACAACAGAATTCTCAAAAGCAAAAAAGAAACAGATGTTTTAAAAACCACACACATTTTATAGAATTTTTCATTTTAAGTAGATTCTCCTAAGCAAAATGCATCCTTTTCTCAATTCACACAAAGGATTCAAGACATGCGAATACACATGAAAGGTAAATTATCTCAGCACTTTTCCTTCTCAGTGTCATCACTAAATAAGCCCCAGGAACCCAGAGAAAGATTTTCAATATTTAACACTGTCTCCCTCTGCTGTATGAAAAAGGAAATGATTCAAAGATTTCATTATTAAGATATAATTAAGAAAAATTATTTCACAATATGTTTACCATAAAATATAGTTTAATGGTATAAGGACAAGAAAAATAATCAACCTTTTTAGAATCCTTTAGAATACAATTCAACATCCCAGTCTTCAATCCAGAACTTAGAAAAACCTAAGCAAAAAAGCACTAGCTTTGGTTGGCAGTTAGAAGTCATGGTATTCCTTCTGGGACAGGCTGAACAATTTAGTACCTATGTGAACTTGGGGAAGGCACTGAAAGTTCATGAACCTCAGTTTTTTTTTGTTTTTTACCTATAAAATTGAGAATGAGATACTTTCCCTGTCAACTTCATAGGACTAATATCAGAATCTAATTTAGACTCATTTACTTATAATTATTACTAAGAAACCACTATGTACAAAGCAGTACGCTAGAGTTGGCAAATTTAGCAAAATCAAAATACAGCAAGGAACATACTCATATTACCTGTAATACAAAGTTAACTGGACATCCTGTATTTCATCTAGCAACCCTAACTGGGGTACACTTAAGGACCCAAATAAGACAATTATTCTCCTCAAAGGACTTACAGAAAAGCCAGGGAAATAAAATGTATATATAAACAACTATTATACAAGGAAGAATAGTAGTTATGAAGCATTTTAAAAAGGGGGGAGGGAACACACACAAAAAAAGGCACTGTGGGAACACAGTAGGGGGAGTAAGGGCTGGTTAGAAGCAACAAGCACCCAGAAGATTAAAAGAATAAAGAATCAAGATATGACATAGTGCTTAGTTAAGAGCCACCATTCTAGCCACAGAGATTTGTGTATTTACCGTAATACTACTCCTCCATACGTAAGTAAATGGGGTGGTTAAATAATACAAATTCATAAGACATTTACCATCTATTCACTCAAACCAGTTTACATTTAAATTACATCAAATGGACATGCATTAACAACCTCTTGATAGAAATACATACAAAAATTCCAAACTCATAATTTTCTGACTCATCTCCCTCCCAAATCTACCTACAGTTTTGCATCTGATTACTTTATCTAAAAATTCTTTTATTAAACAAACTCTATACTATGTGGACGGGGTCAATGACAGACAAAAATCTTGGTAAGACTTCATCCCTTTTCTCTCTCAACTCTCCTAAACAACTGTTAGACATTTCTGCCTCATAACTAAATAGTTTTGTTCTCTGTAATCTTTGGAAAAAAACAAAAAGAAAAGGGCAGATTCTTTTAACTAAATGCAAAATACTACTGCTTCTTTACTTCCTACTTCCTGTGCCAACCCTCTGCAGCTGTCTCTTCTTTCTGCAGGTCCAGTTACCATTCTCCATGACACAGGCCAACCCTGATCCTATTTCCTAACAGGAAAACTCACATGTCCTTACAATTAAACTCAACAGTCAACAGCATAATATGCTGCAAGAAATGTGTACAAAGGAGAAATAGTAATGGAAAAAGTCTACCTATTTGTTCATTCCCACTAACTCATTTATCCTATACCATCACACAATTTTAGAGCTGAAAAGGATTTCAGAGCTCATTTAGCCCATATCCCTCTTAACAGACGCTAAAAATTTAGGGCTACAATCATTTTGTCACTAGTCTAAACTCAGAGGGCAAAGAACTAGAAGAATTTTTCCCAAGAAATTATACTACTGCCTACATATTGACTGATATTTAATATTCCCTGAATTATAATTCTATTCTACCTTTTTCTTTCCTTTTGAAAATATAAAGGACCTGTAAACTATATAGCTACTCAAACTACAATTTATTCATTATTCCCTAATAATAACGTAACCTAAAATTCAGCTTAAAAAAAAAAAGGCAGATGAATCTTCATAGTAGTTTGTATTTTTAACTGTATGAGCAAGGGTGAGAAAAGTATTCGTGTATCAAAACAGACCAAACTTGACCAGTTCATTAGAAGACGACACTATCAGTATCAAATCTTAAAGGGAAGTACATTATTATATCTACCTTTTTAAAAACATCTTTACTGAGAATATATTAATCTTAATAAATACACAAACAAGACTCAACCTAAGTGAATTTTTACACTCCACTGTCCTAGAATTTTTTGGGAAAAAAAAAAAAAAACCTGATACTAAAAAACTATTGCTAACATGATGAACATAATTAATGTCACTGAACTGTACATATGAAGATTGCTGAAATGGCAAATGTTTTGTTACCTATATACTTACAATTAAAAAAAATGAATTATTGCTCTTAGTTAGTTATCTCTTATATTTTTAAAGATATGTGGCTGGAAGGATCCACACTTACTTTTAAGCTTATAATCACACAGGTGTTAGTTCATCAGTGTTATAATATTACTAGAAACAACCCTTTTCAAAAATCTTACCTTTGTTGAAAGTACTTTAAATGTGCTCTGTTCTGGTATTATAGGATGAAGAAGTCTCAGTTTCAAATTGTAATCCTCTCCAGAAGAAAGTTTCACCAAAGCAGACAACTAAAAAAAAAATACCCAAACCCACTGACATCAAGTCAATTCCAACTCACAGTGACCCTACAGGACACAGTAGAACTGCCCTATAGGGTTTTCAAGGAGGGGCTGGTGGATTTGAACTGCTGAGCTTTTTGGTTAGCAGCTGAGCTCTTAACCACTCTGCCACCAGGGCTCCACCCAAGCAATTAATGACCATAAAATTAGCATCATATTTTGTAAATTTATACAATGAAGGTTGAAATACTTAATATAATTACAGACTTTTAATACTGCTGCAGATTATTTTAAACATTTACATGGAATATCACATTAAAGATAAGAACCTCAAAAAAAAAAAAAATCTTATTTTTCATTTGGTATCCTTCACATGGATTCTCATAATGTAATAGCAGAAAACATTTCATAAAACACATATTTGGGATTTAAATCTCAAGGAAACTCACTACAAAAGAACAAAATGATACCACGTATAACAATTATTCATGTGGCAACATACAGTTCTACAACTATCTTAAGTATCATAAGGTTCTCTGCTAAGTGCTAATAAAGTTATTAGAAGTCATACTTATTTAATATGGTTAATCAATTATAAGACATGCATTCAACTCAAAACAAAAAACGAAGGCTTTTTCATGGAGTATACCACACAAGTACAACCAAGTCATATATCTCATTAATGTCAATCAAGCTCTGCTCTGAATACCAAATCTAAAAAAAAAGAAAATAATGACATCTAGCTATAAACCCACGGTATATATATTCTTATCTCAAAACTTAAAATGATTCAAAATGAAAAGCAATGCTTCAGATTTTATTTAGCATTTCCATATAATCTCAGGAAGAAATGGCATATTTTGTTATAGATGATCCTGTTAAAGATAAACTTTTATAGATTATCCTGTAACACAGTATATTTTCAAGTAGTATTTAATCTCAACATTAAAAAAATAGTTCAATGACTATACTGACCTCTTTTTCTGAAAATTCCACACTTACATCATTCTTCTGAACATTCTTTATCATAAGTGTAATGATTACTTGAGATTCTGTTTGATACCAGTCATACCTATTAAAAAAAGAAAGAAACTTAAAACAGAATTAATTTTCTTAAAGTTGTTCCTTTAATGTTTTCTCAAGATAAAAACTACAGTCTCATAAACAAGAGCTCCACTTTGAGGAAAAAACAGCAAAAGCAGCTGTTGATTCACAGAAATAATTTTACAAAACCCATTTTCTATGACCTGTACTAATGGGAGACAGCAGTAAGGTAGATGATGTCCCAAACCTTTCCAGTGGATTTAAATATTTATTACATGACTGCCTGGGCATCTTACCTGTATCTTTAATACTGTCCTGCTTAAACTAATATTAAAGGTAAAATTTATTGTAAACAGTTAATAGTTATCATACAGTATCAGTAAAGTTTTACATTCTCATTTTAGCCTAATACGAAGATGACGTAAACACATCTATCCCCGTTTCACAGATGAGAAAACAAGCTCAGAAAGGTGAAGCAAAGTCTCAGAGCCAGTCAGTGGCAGTACTGCACTGGACCCAGATCAGCCTGCCTCCACACTCCAAGCTCTTTTAACTAAAGCAGGGTGCAAAGAGCCCCAAGCACAGATAGTAGAAGCAAAAGAGCTAAAATTAAAACAATGGATAATTCAAAGTTTAACTCACCATGCAGGCACAGTAAATACAATACCTTCCTGCAATCTCGAGGTGGATGGGAAGACTAGAGTGCCTAGAGATTCCAACCGAGTACCTTTCCCATTGAAAGCTCTAAAAATGTAGGGGATTCTCATATTCAAATTAGACTAGACTGTAAGTTCCACGAGGCAGGGCTGTAACTATCCTACCACTATGATATTCCCAGGGCCAAACATAGTACCTGGTACAAAGCATATTTATTAAACAAAATGTTGAATTATTTTATGCTCCGAACACCATAATTATTATTGATGATCATATGCCCTCCCCTGCTGCTGCCACCAAGCAAGTCAAAATTTGTCTGTTATGTACTTGAGTGTCATCCTGTATCTTCCCCAGAACCAAAATGAATAAATTGTTTTAACATTTCCAAGTCATTTTAGGTGATTATATCAAAAAGCACCTTGATTAAAGAAACGAAATTTAAGTCTCAGTCTCCCTTTGAAATTCAGTGAAGATGCAAAGCTCCAACTCAATGCCCTATGTTTCTTTCTTTCACAGTCCTAACAATATGACTTGGACACATGGCTAATGAAATATTATAAATAAACTCATGTATTTGCTAGATGCTTCCCTGGTGGCGTAGTGGTTAAGTGCAACAGCTGCTAACCAAAAGGTTGGCAGTTCGAATCCACCAGGCCCTCCTTGGAAACTCTATGGGGCAGTTCTAACTTTGTCCTATAGGGTCACTATGAGTCGGAAATCAACTCGACAGCAACAAAGTTTTTGTTTTTTTTTTTTCCTCCTCCATTATAACAGTTGTTGCCCTCAGCAATAATCACTTTCAATTCACACAGAATGTTTCTATGAAACATTCACTCAAAACATAAAAGGCATGGCCAGTGACAATTTTGTTAAGCTTCCTTCTAACTTATTTACCTATGTAATAACATCAGTTTAACTGGGAGAGGCTTTCCTTAATATATGAAAAAGGTGACATTAAATGGAACCAGGTGAAACAACTTTAAAGTTGAGAAGGGATTGGAATGTATGAGTATGAACAATAATACTAATCAAAAACAGTCTTGGAATTAGTTTTTGATAAGGCCATTAACAATTTTAAAAGACAAAACTAAGAAACACTTAAAACGATAGGGTACAAACTTGCTTAATATTAAACTACAGGGTTTTGTTTTTTTCTTTTTCCCCATTAGGTACAGGTATCTATCATATATGGTTTTATGAAAAATACTTACTTGATTTTTGACTGATGAGTCCGCTGGGATAGAGACTGATTTTGGCAAGTTGAATGAGAAAGATTTTTACAAGTTAGTTTTGTAATTGTATATTAAAATACATGTATTATTAATTAACCCAGCCCTATGGCAGCAACTAAAAATAACAACAAATAGTTACTTTGGCATGTAGTAACTACATGAAAACTTCTTTCAAAGACAAAGCAATGGTATTCATAATTGTTCTAAGAATACTAGTCTTTACCAAAATATTAGAATATTCAACATTTTCATAATTTTTATTACTTTTAATTTCAAAAAAATGTTTCTTCTAAAACATTCTAAAGATATGATAAGAAAAGGTTACTCATGTAAAATGTCGAGTTTAAAATTCAGTAACTCCCTAAACTGAAAATAACAGTAACAATTAAAAAACCCTTTATAAGAATATAGGATAAAATAACATTCAGGCTTAACCATAACGTCAAACAGAACTCTGAAAATATATAAAGAAACATTTTCATGGTGCCTTCCTGACAAGGTCTTACTCTATTTATAGCCTCTCTGCAATAAATGCTATCCAATGCGCATCAAAAAACAAAATGACTTCTTGACCAATCCATACTTTTCTGAACTAGATGCATGCCAGTTAAGACTGTACATCTAAATAACTTGTCCTGGGTCTTAGGAGACGTCTAGGTTGTCCCTAAACAAGAAAGGAAGAGATGGGGCTTGAGACAAGGAAATAAGTAAAACTGCTCTAGAGATGTGAGTCTAACTCAGAATTACTCTTTAGTAATAAAGACTGAGGAGCAGCTGGGTGACACAAATGGTTAAGTGCTCGACCACTAGCTGAAAGGTTGGCAGTTCAAACCTTCTCAGAGGTGCCTCAGAAGACAGGCCTAGCGATCTGCTTCTAAAAGGTTGCAGCCTTAAAAACCCTACAGAGAAATTCTATTCTGCACACATGTGGAGTTAGCATGAGTCAGAATCAACTCAATGGCAACTAACAAAACAATAAAGATTGAGAGAACAATGGTGGTCAGTGGTAGAATTCTTCTTTTCCATGCGGGAGATGCAGGTTCGATTTCCAGCCAATGCACCTCATGCGCAGCCCACCCACCCGTCTGTCAATGGAGGCTTCAGTGTTGCTATGAAGATTAATCGGTTTCAGTGAAACTTCCAGACTAAGACAGGCTAGGAAGAAAGGCCTGGTGATGTACTCCAAAAATCAGCCAATGAAAACCCTAAGGATCAAAATAGTCCAATCTGCAAATGATATCGGGATGGCGCTGGACTGGGCAGGTAGCGTTTCATTCCATCGTGCATGGGGTCGCCATGAGTACGGGGCTGACTAGACAACAGCTAACATCATCAAGGACTGAAATATACATGAAGAGATGCTGACTAGAACTGATTATTCTAGCTCATCCTGGTACCAGGATAAAACTAGATTGAACTTCAGGAGTGACAAAATGTACTGAGGCTAAACAGCCATTTGCTATACCTGACAAAGTCTTTTTCTTTGTTATCCAAATGCCATCCTGTGGTTTTCAGGCCTATTCCCAAACACAAATATCATAAAACTTGGACAAAACTACTAGCAGGTGAAGACTGAAAACAACTTCTAAACATTTCCTCCAATCCATTCTCTACTCCCTACCTGACCCCCACCCCAAGGAATATGAAGGTATGGGGACAGACAGACAGGGCTCACTTTTGGCAATGTTCAAAACCCTAGTCACTACTATCTTGCCAGATGCTCACAACCACATGCCTGAAGTACATTAGCTCTATTAGTCCCAGTTTACACATGAAGAAAGCTCAAGGAATAAGGGACTTTCTCAATGTCACAATGTAATTCTGGAACAGAGATGTTAATCTTCCTTTAGGAATGAAGACAGAAATTCAAAAAGGTAAATTAATTGCCCACAGAGTGAGTTAGGATGACGCATGCCTCCATATTATTTGACTAAGTATGCAGAGGATCATGACCAAAAAGGCATCAGCCATATTTAACTATGCATTTTACATACAGGCATGCATTGTTTTACTGCATTTCACAGATCCTGCGTTTTTTCTTACAAATCGAAAATTTGTGGCAACCCTGCATTGAGCAAGTCTGTCCGTGCTGGTTTTCTAACAGCATGTGCTCATTTCATGTCTGTGTGTCACATTTTGGTAATTATTGCAATTTTTCTAACTTTTTCATTATTATTGTATCTGTTATGGTGATCTGTGATCAGGCATCTCTGATTACCATTAACCACTGTAATTGTTTTGGGGCACCACAAACCATGCCCACATAAGACAGCAAATTTAATCAACAGATGTTGTGTGTGTTCTGCGTGATCCACTGACCAGCCGCTCCCCCGTCTCTCTCTCTTCGGGCCTCCCTATTCCCTGAGACATGACAATATTGAAATTAGGCCAATTAATAACCCTAAAATGGCCTCTAAGTGTTCAAGTGAAAGGAAGAGTCACATGTCTCTCATCAAAAGCTAGAAATGGTTAATCTCAGTGAGGAAGACATGTCGAAAGATGAAACAGGCCAAAAGCCAGGCCTCTTGCACCAAACAGCCAAGGTGTGAATGCACAGGAAAAGTTCTTGAAGGAAATTAGAAGTGTTACTCCAGGGAATACATGAACAATAAAAAAGTAAAACAGCCTTATTGCTGATATGGAGAAAGTTTCAGTGATCTGGATAGAAGATCAAACCAACCACAACATTCCCTTAAAGCAAAGCCTAACCCAGAGGAAGGCCTTAACTCTTCAAGTCTATATAAAGGCTGAGAGAGGTGAGGAAGCTGTAGAAGAAAAGTCTGAAGCTAGCAGAGGTTGGTTCATGAGGTTTAAGGAAAGAAGCCATCTCCATAACATAAAAGTGCAAGGCGAGCGAACAAGTGCTGATGTAGAAGCTACAGCAAGTTATCCAGAAGATTTAGTTAAGATAACTGATGAAGGTGGCTATACAAAACAACAAATTTTCAATGCAGACGAAACAGCCTTATATTGGAAGAAGATGCCATCCAGGACTTTTATAGCTAGAGAGAAGTCCATGCTTGGCTTCAAATCTTCAAAGGACAGGCTGACTCGCTTGTTAGGGACTAATGCAGCTGGTGATTTTAAGTTGAAGCCAATGCAAATTTACCCTTCAAAAAATCCTAGGGCCCTTTAGAATTACACTAAATCTACTCTGCCTGTGCTCTACAAATGGAATAACAAAGCCTGGATGATGCACATATGTGTACAACATGGTCTGCTGAATATTTTAAGCCCATTGTTCAAAATATTATTGCTCATTAACAAGGAGCACCTGGTCACCCAAGAACTCTGATGGAGATGTACAAGGAAATTAATGTTGTTTTCATGCCTGCTAACATACTATCCATTCTGTTGCCCATGGCTCAAGGAGTAATTTCAACTTTCAAGTCTTATTACTTAAGAAATATATTTTGTAATAAGGCTATAGCTGTCATAGACAGTGATTCCTCTGATGGATCTGGGCAACATAAACTGAAGAGTTTCTGGAAAGGATTTACCATTCTAGATGCCATTAAGAACACTTGTGATTCATGGGAGGAGGTCAAAATATCAACATTAACAGGAGTTTGGAAGAAGTTGATTCCAGCCCTCATGGATGACTTTTTGAGGGGTGAAGGAAGTAACTGCAGATATGCTGGAAACAGCAGGAGAACTAGAATTACAAGTACAGCCTGAAGATGTAAGTGAATTGCTGCAATCTCATGATAAAACTTTAAAGGATGAGGAGTTGCCTCTTACAGATGAGCAAAGAAAGTGGTTTCTTGAGATGGAAACTACTCCTGGTGAAGATACTGTGAACACTGTTGAAATGACAACAAAGGATTCAGAATATTACATAAACTTAGTTGATAAAAGCAACAGCAGGGTTTGACAAGACTGATTCCAATTTTGAAAGAAGTTCTACTATGGGTAAAATGCTATCAACCACCATCGCACACTACAGAGAAATCTTTCCTGAAAGCAAGAGTCAGTAGATGTAGCAAACTTCGTTGTTGTCTTACTTTAAGAAATTCCTACAGCCACTCCAACCTTCAACAACCAGCAGCCTAATTAGTCAGCAGCCATCAAGGCAAGACCCTCCACCAGCAAAAAGATTATGACTCACTGACGACTCAAATGATGGTTAGCATTTTTTAGCAATAAAGCATTTTTTAATTAAAGTATGTACATTGTTTTTTAGACATAATGCTACTACACACTTAACAGACTACAGTACAGTGTAAATATAACTTTTATATGCAGTGGGAAACCAAAAACCTTGTGTGACTGCCTTTATTGAGATATTTGTTCTATTGCAGTGGTTTGAAATCGAACTGCAATATCTCTGAGGTATGCCCGTATAAACCTACCTAAGTTGATTCTCAAAAAAAGAAATTAATATTTCCAAACTTTAGTTAACCTTTTGTGTCAGCACACCATAAAAAACCCTACAAGCGCTTCCAAGGAAGCAACTGTTTAACCTAAGTAAATGTCATGATTTTCTAACACAGAAATGAAATAATCATCTTGATCATACTAAAATATTCCAAACCAACTTGAGCTACACACTAAATTCATTAAACTAGCCCAGTAATTTTCATGATACACTTCTATATATATTTCACCAGAAAACAATTTTATTTCAGCTACAAAGGAAGAAATATTTAAATAGGATTGCTTAATATTTCACTGAGAGAGAGCTTATTCTGAGTCCTGTCTCAAATATACTCAGCACTTGAAATTTAAACCTAATTAAGCAGGATAAAATCTGGACTCACCACTTCAGATTCTGATCCTATTAAAAACAAAAAGAGAGAATTCTCAGTAATACATTTATAGACAAAGTTATATACATGATTTCTATGGTACAAACACACTGGTAAAACAAGTCAATCCTTCATTTATTTCTAATAAAGGAAGGTGATTTAATTTTGCATCCCAGAATCACTGTAGATTCTTCTAAGTAATTTCTTACCTCTGATACCTTGATAAAACCACTGCTGTCAAGTCAATTCTGACCCATAGCAACCCCACAGGACAGAGTAGAACTGCCCCACAGTGTTTCCAAGAAACAGCTGGTGGATTTGAACTGCCAACCTTGTGGTTAGCAGCCAGCCTGGTAGTGCAGTGGTTAAGAGATGAGGCTGCTAACCAAAAGGTCAGCAGTTCAAATCCACCAGTCGCTCCTTGGAAACCCTATGGGGGCAGTTCTACTCTGTTCTATAGGGTTACTATGAGTCAGAATTGACTTGACAGCAATGGGTTTGGTTTTTTGTTTTTGTTTTTTTTAATACCTTGATACTACAGCAAAGCAAATCCATCCAAATCTCTCTTTCAACATTATAAACTAGGCAAAAATCAGTATATCTTTGGGAATCCCTATCTATGGGAACATGTACTACTTAAATTACATATAAAAAGTTAAATACAAATTTGTTTAAACCAAAAAATTTTAAAAGGTTTTCTTTTTAAATCGAAGGACTATGGGAAACATATCATACCATTTTGAGCTTCCTGACACCTTTTAATCCAGACGATGAAATTATCATCTGCATCTAGAAAGCAAAAAACTATAACATGACTCATCTGTACAACATATTCATTCAACAAATAACTTATTGAGTACTTACTATGTGCCAAACACTGTTCTAGGTACTGGGGATTTAGTAGAGAATAAAACAGACAAAAACAACTATGTTCATAGAGCTTACAGCAATTCTAATATTACAGCTAAATAACACTTACTTGTTCATCCTGAAGAATTCTGATTAAAAACAACTAGGTTTTTTTTTTTTTTTTTACAGAAATAGAAAAGCCAATCCTCAAATTTATATGGAGGGCCAAGGGACTCTAAACAGCTGAAGTAATCTTGAAGAAAAAGAATAAAGTAGGAGGATTCATACTCTCTGGTTTCGAAGCATACTACAAAGGCACAGTAATTAAAACAACCTGGTATGGGTATAGTAATAGTCATATAGGCCAATGGAATAGAATTGAGAACCCAGAAATAAATCCATACATCTATGGTCAACTGATTTTCAACAAGGGTGCTAAGTCCATTCAATGGGAAGGTAGAGTCTCTTCAACAAATGGTGCTAGTAAAATTGGACTTTAACATGCAGAAGAATGAATCAGGATCTATGTCCAACACCATACACAGAAACAATTCAAAATGGATCAAGGACCTAAATGTGAAAACTAAAACCATAAAATACTTAGAAGAAAATACAGGGGGATGACTACAGGGCTTAATTTTTTACTAACAATGAGTTATCAGAAATGACAACAAAAGCACATGCAGCAATAGACAAAATAAATGAGACCTCATAAAAATTAAATACATTTGTGCATCAAACGACTTATCAAAAGTGAAAAGACAACCTATAAATTGGGAGAAAATTTTTGGGAATCAAATTGTCCAATAAGGGTCTAATATCCAAAATACACATATATTTTTTAAAAAATCTGTAACTTAACAAGATAAGCAACCCGATCAAAAAACGGATAAAGGACTTGAACAGACATTTCACCAAAGAGGATATTCAAATGGTCAACAAGCACATGAAAAGATGGTCAACATCATTAGCCATTATACCAAAAATAAACCCACTGCCGTTGAGTCAAGGCAAATCAAAACAATGAGACACCACCTCACTCTCATTAAAACAGCAATGATCAAAAAAATGGAAAACAACAGGTGTTGGCAAGATGGTGGAGAAACTGGAACCTCATCCATTGCTGGTAGAAATGTAAAATGCTGCAGCCACTGTGGAAAACAGTATGCAATTCCTCAAAAACTGCACACAGAACCACCATATGACCTAGCAATCCCAATCCCAGGTATATCCAGAAGAAGGCCAAAACGCAAACAAAACCCTTCACACCAATGTTCACTGCAACACTTTTCACAAAAGCCCAAAGGTGGAAACAACATAAATGTCCATCAACAGATGAATGGATAAACAAAATATGATACAGACATACAAAGGGATACTACTCAGTCATAAAGAGAAATGAAGTCTCAATGCGTACCACAACGTGAAGCTTGAAAACATCATGTTGAGAGAAATTAGTCACAAAAGGACAAATACTGTATCTCATTCATAGGAAATAAGCAAATACGTAGAAACCAAAGATTACTAGTGGTTACCAGGAGTGGGAGGGAGGGAGCAAGGAGGAGTTTCTCCTTAGGGGGCATTGAGTTTATGTTAATGGTAGTGAACGATCTGGAAAAGGATAGCAAGAATGGTTGCATAACTTAAAGAATGTAATCAATGTCACAAAATTGTTTATGTAGAAATTGTTGAGACGGGGTATGTTTTGTTATGTATCTTTTTACAACTTTTAAAAACTGAATTTTAACAGTCATCCTTACTGGTTCCCAGACGCAGATAACCTACAATTAACTCCCCCTGCCCCCCTGCTCTTAAAGGAGCTTCTCACCCACAAGGAAATCAGATTCCCAGTATGCCATCGCAGTTAGGGTAGGGTGGAGGCCTGGTAACTGGCAGCTGGGTTGAGATCCAAAGCATCTCCCTGATCCAGCTTGCTTTCCAATGCAGCTACTTATTCTGTCTACTATTCTCTCAATGGCTTTATTTGTTACCATACTTTTACTATCAATACCTTTATACTTTGTGGAGTTTTGTGCTATCTCCAAGTTACATGTCAGCCAAGAGATTACAGATGATGAACTATACATTTACAGATAGCAATATAAACGCATATACAAACAAAATACTCACCAGAACAATGATTATATCTAAACAGTTAAAGTGGCTAACACAATGTAATGTTAAAAAAAATTATTAAAAGCACTCTAAATAAAAGCTTACTAATTCAAGCTAACTGATGGCAAGATTAATCTAAAAACTGAAAAGCAATTCATCTTTCTTAAAGTAAAATTCTGTAATCCATTCACTAATTTGTAAAAGGAGGTAAACATATAAGCCTTAATTAAAAATTTTAAATATATATATTTTATATATACATACATTTTATATACATATATACACATGTATGAACACACACATACATGCAACAACTGATAAAACATCAGACTACAAAGTATATTCTATTAATGAACTATTACATCAAAATCCTAAGACTTGAACAACATATTATATCATTCAAATTAAACGGTAAATACGACTAAGTTTCCTAAATAAGGTAATATTCTGAGTTATAATTTTTTTACCCTAATAAAAATGGAAGCCCAACAGTTTAATATAAAATTTTCCTGGAATAAAATTTAAAGACAAATTTGTTTTTACATTAAACATAAACAGCGATTTTACTAAAGATACAGACAACTTTATCTTAAAGCCAGCTTTGAAATAATTCTAGGATAAATGTCCGATGACATATTACAGTGTTACTCAAAGAAGCAATTTAGGCAAAGAATTTTGTTGCTATGATAAGGAATAGGGCTTAGAAAATTTAAGAGGACTGAATGACTCATGTCTCTTCAAGGTTTTCAAATATATATCAAGATGCTAGATAACTGACTTAGAATTTGCTAAGAGTGCAGATATGCTGGTTAGCTGACTGAACAGCCATACTATCCAAGTCTGAGAACAACTCCTAATGCCCAGATCAGTTTTTCTTAATCTGTAGGTTCCATTTGCAGAGTTTGGGCCTTAAAGTCCTTTCCTGAGTAGATCTGCAGTACAAAAGCAAATATTCAAAGCAGTACGGGGCACATTTTTTAAATTAAACATACAATCCTTTAGAGCAGTTTTCTCAACTGACATTTTGTAACAGATACTTCTTTGTTGTGGAGGTCTGTCCTGTGCGTTGCAGGATGTTTATAAGCATCCGTGTCCTCTACTCACTAGATTTCAGTAGACACCCTCTACCAGTCATAATAATCAATAATCTTTCCAGACACTGTCTAATGTCCCCAGGGGAGCAAAATCATCCCTGGTTAAGAAACACTGCTTTAGAGATAACATTCTACCATAAGATAAAAATGATACTACACGAACAGGATTATGTAGTCTATAATCTTCTGAGATTACTCACAAACTCTGACTTTTAGTATCTTGCACAGATTTTTAAATTCTTGGCTTTCACAATTATTTCCAAATATGTGCCTAGATATCCATACTGCTATAATTCTCATATATTGTTCTCAAAAAGATGACATTAAAAACTCACGTTACACCATTCAGCTGGGGATTGGACAGCCCCATAAAACAAAACAGGACTAATGAGGCACAGCAGTCCAAGGACAAGGACTAGTAGGCAGGAGGGGATAAGAAAGCAAGGTTGAGAAGGGACAGTGTTGACATGTCGTGGGGTTGTTAACCACTGTCATAAGGCAATGTATGTACTGTTTAATGAGAAACTATCTGTTCTGTAAACCTTCATCTAAGGTACCAAAAAAAAAAAAGAATTATCTATGTGAGATCAAAATGACAACAGCAACCCCAAAAGGTTTGATGGGAAGCCTAGGGGCCAGTGAGTTGAAGATAATGGTGATGGAATAATTTGGAAAAGGATAGTGAGAATAGCAGCACAACTGGAAGAATGTAATTGATGTCACTGAATTGTACATATAGAAATTTCTGAAATGGTGTATCTTTGGCTATGTATATTTTCACCAAAAAAAAAAGGTCCTCCAAGGTCGAGAAGGGAGAGTGTTGACATGTCATAAAACAATGTGTACTGACTTGTTTAATGAGAAACTATTTGTTCCGTAAACCTTCACCTAAATTTAAAAAAAAAACTCACATTACTCAAAGCTCCAGGTTTCTTCTATACCCTCTCACAATTTACCAAATTTACACTTAGCTTCTCCATGAAAGACTCTGTTGTAAGATTTTCCATCTCAGGAATCTGAGTAAGTTAAGACAAACAGACTTCTGAACAGAAGAGCAAATTAAATGTTCACGTCTCCATTAGAAAAAAATACAGCAAAACTAAGTAAAGGGAACATGTTGAATGTTTATAGTTTTTGGTTTCTAAATGGAAAGTTTTATGTGACTTAAACGCCAAAGAAAGGCCAATTGAATCAACTTTAAGTGAACTCAAATTCTGCAATCAACATGAAATGTCATTAAGAGGCAGAAAAAAAGGTGTTGGGTTTCTGCCAATTAACTTGAGATGACACTAACAAGATTCAACTATGCTATTTAAGACATGTATCATAAATAATAAATTAGTTTATTAAAGTATAATTCTGATACTTACCATCTAATTTCTGTCCTTCTGTAAAAGTCTCTAGAGCAGCAACATAATTTTTTTCATGGTATTCACAGATCCTGGCATTAGCATATTAAAAACAAAAACCACATATACATGAGATCATGGAAACTACATTCTACCGAAATAAAAAAATCCTATTATCCTCTACTTTTAAAAGAATTTTTTTAAGCATATGCTAATAAGCCAAGAGATTGTCTAAGAATATTGTACTGTAACACCTAGTACTATTTTCATTAAAATTCAATCTTGGAACTCATTTCAGGAGGAATTTCTTGACTATAATTGCATATGCCTGTTTATTCCAAAAACTAATCATACTAAGGAACTAAAGAAGTTTCTTACTTAAGGAATAAAGTCACAGCAAAAACAAGCTGGGATATAAAGTACACTTAAAGGAAAAAGTTCTAGTATCATTAAATGTAGCCTTATCCAGTTTGGTTGAGAAACAGGATGTTCTCACTAAGTTCCAAACAATAAAAAAGGGATATGAAATCCATGAGTTTCATCTATACTTGGCAGTTACTCCAATCATCACCATTTTAAAACACGGTAATAATAGATCTCATATCACATACTGTAGTTAATACAATAACAGGATACAGACAAAAAAACAATAAACCACAACCAAGTACAATTCATATCAGGTATGCAAGGATGGTTCAACATCAGAAAATCAACCAACGTAATCCACCACATAAATAAAGGAATCACATGATCATCTCAATCGATGCAGAAAAGGCATTCGACAAAGTCCAACACCCATTCCTGATAAAAACTCTCAATAAAATAGGTAGCAGAAGGGAAATTCTTCAACATAATAAAGGGCATCTATACCAAACCAACAGTCAACATTGTTCTTAATGGAGAGAGGCTGTAAACATTCCCCTTCAGAAAAGGAACAAGACAAGGATGCCCTTTATCACCACTCATATTTAACATTGTGCTAGAAGTCCTAGCTAGAGCAATAAGGCAAGAAAAAGAAATAAAGGACATCCAAACTGATAATGAAGAAATAAAACTGTCCCTATTTGCAGATATGATAACTATATGCAGAAAACCCAAAAAACTCCATGAGAAACTACCGGAATAGAAAGATTCATCACAGTAGCAGGATACAAGATAAACATACAAAAATCAGTTGGATTCCTATACACCAATAAAGAGAACAACAAAAAGGAAATCAGGAAAACAATACAGTTTATAACAGCACCCCCCAAAAATAAAATACTCAGGAATAAATCTAACCAGGGATATAAAAGATCTACAAAACACTACTGCAAGAAACCAAAAGAGCTCTACATAAATGGAAAAACATACCATGCTCATGGATAGGTAGACTCAACAATGTGAAAATGACCATTCTATCCAAAGCAATCTACAAATGCAATGCAATCCCCATCCAAATACCAACAACATTCTTTAAAGAGATGGAAAAACTAATCAACTTTATATGGAAAGGGAAGAGGCTCTGGATAAGTAAAGCACTCCTGAAGACGAATAAGGTAGGAGGACTCGCACTACCTGACCTAAGAACCTACTATACAGCTATGGTAGTCAAAACAGCCTGGTACTGGTACAACGACAGATACACTGACCAATGGGACAGAACTGAGAACTCAGATGTAAATCCATCCACCTACAGTCACCTGATCTTCGACAAGGGCCCAAAGTCCATCAAATGGGGAACAGACAATCTTTTTAACAAATGGTGCTGGCAAAACTGCATGTCCATCTGCAAAAAAAATGGAACAGGACCCATACCTCACACCATATACAAAACTAATTCAAAATGCATCGAAGACCTAAATATAAAGCCAAAAACTATAAAGTTCATACAAGAAAAAATAGGATCAACGCTAGAGGCCCTAATACACGGCATTAACAGGACACAAACTATAACTAACAACACACAAACTCTAGAAGATAAGCTAGATAACAGGGATCTTCTAAAAATTAAACACTTATGCTCATCAAAAGACTACCAAAAGAGTAAAACGAGAACCTACAGACTGGAAAAAAATTTTTTGGCTATTACAAATTCAACAAAGGTCTAATCTCTAAAATCTATAGGAAAATCTAACACCTCTACAACAAAAAGACAACTAATCCAATTAAAAAATGTGCAAAGAAAATGAACAGACATTTCCCCAAAGAAGACACTTAAGCGACTAACAGACACATGAGGAAACGCTCATGATCACCAACCATTAGAGAAATGCAAATCAAAACCACAATGAGATACCATCTCACCCTGGCATTACTGGCACGAATCAAAAAAAACAGAAAATAACAATGTTGGAGAGCCTGCAGGGAGATCAGAATTCTTATGCACTGCTGGTGGGAATGCAAAATGGTACAACCATTTTGGAAAACAATGTGGCGCTTCCTTAAAAAGCTAGAATTAGAAATACTATATGATCCAGCAATCCCAATCCTAGGAATATATCCTGAAGAAATAAGAGCCATCACAGGAATAGACATATGCACACCCATGTTCACTGCAGCATTGTTCACAATAGCAAAAAGATACAAACCAACCTAGATGCCCATCAACAGATGAATGGGTACACAAACTATGCTACGTACACAATGGAGTACTATGCAACAGTAAAGAACAATGATGAATCTTTGAAGCATCTCACAACATGGATGAATATGGAGGACATTATGCTGAGTGAAATAAGTCAATCACAAAATGACAAATATTGTATGCAACCTCTATTGTAAAAACCCATGAAAAAGTTCACACATCAAAAGAAACAATCTTTGCTGGTTACCAGGGATGGGAGGGGTGGGGGTGAGGATAATACTAGATAAGTGGTATCTTTGGTGAAGGGTGAGACAGTACACAATACTGGGGAAACCAGCACAACCTGTACAAAGAAAGGTCATGGAAGCTCCGTAGACACATCCAAACTCCCTGAGGGAATGAATTGCTGGGCGGAGGGCTATGGGGACCATGGTCTCAGGGAACATCTAGCTCAATTGGCATAACACAGTTTATAAAGACAATGTTCTACATTCTACCTTGGTGAGTAGTGTCTGGGGTCTTAAAAGCTTGTGAGCAGCCATTTAAGATACTCCACTGGTCTCATCCCTTCGGGAGCAAGGGAGAATGAAGAGAACAGGATACAAGGAAAAGATTAGTCCGAAGGACTAATGGACCACAGCTACCAAGGCCTCCACCAGACTGAGTTCAGTACAGCTAGATGGTGCCTGGCTACCACCACTGACTGCTCTGACCGGGATCACAACAGACGGTTCTGGACAGAGCTGGAGAAGGATGTAGAACAAAATTCTAACTCACAAAAAAAAAAGACCAGATTTACTGGCCTAAAGGAGACTGGAGAAACCCCGAGAGTATGGCCCCCGGTCACCCTTTTAGCTCAGTGGTGAAGTCACTTTCGAGGTTCACTGTTCAGCCGGGGAGTGGACAGCCCCATAAAATCAAATGGGACTAATGAGGCATAGCAGTCCAGGTGCAAGGACTAGAAGGCAGAAGGGGACAGGAAAGCTGGTGATAGGGAACCCCAGGTTGAGTAAGGGTAGTGTTGATGTGTTGTGAGGTTGTTAACCATTGACCTGTGACAACATGTGTACTGTTTAATGAGAGACTATTTTGTTCTGTAAACCTTCATCTAAAGTGAGAATAGCAGCACTACTGGAAGAACGTAGTCGATGTCACTGAACTTTGCATGTAGAAATTTTTGAAATGGTGTATCTTTGGCTATGTATATTTTCACTAAGGGGAAAAAAAGGTCAAGAAGGGAGAGGGCTGACATGTCGTGGGTTTGTTAACCAATGTCATAAAACAATATGTATACTACTGTTTCATGAGAAACTATTTGTTCTGTAAACCTTCACCTGAAATAAAATAAAAAAAAAATCATAAAAAGGTTTACACACAAAAAGAAACAATCTTTGATGGTTAAGAGGGAGGGGAAAGGTGGAGATAGAAAAACACTAAATAGACAACAGATAAGTAGTAACTTTGATGAAGGTAAGACAGTACACAATACTGGGGAATCCAACAGAACTTGTACAAGGCAAGGTCATGGAAGCTCCACAGACACATCCCAACTCCCTGAGGGACTGAATTGCTGGGCTGAAGGCTGCAGGGTCTTGAGGAACATCTAGCTCAACTGGCATAACATAGTTTATAAAGAAAATGTTCTACGTTCTACTTTGGTGGGTAGTGTCTGGGGTCTTAAAAGCCTGTGAGTGGCCATCTAAGATACTCCACTGGTCTCACCCCTTCGAGAGCAAGGGAGAGTGAAGGAAACTAAAGACGCAAGGGGAAGATTAAGTCCAAAGGACTAATGGACCACAACTTCCACAGCCTCCACCAGACTGAGTCCAGTAAAACTAGATGGTGCCCAGCTACCACCACTGACTACTCTGATAAGGATCACAACAGAGGGTCCTGGACAGAGCTGGAAAAAAATGTAGAACAAAATTCTAACTCGGAAAAGAAGACCAGACTTACTGGCCTGACAGAGACTGGAGAAACTCCGAGAGTATGGCCCCCTGACATCCTTCTAGTTCAGTAATGAGGTTCACCCTTCAGCCAAAGATTACACAGGCCCATAAAACAAAACGAGACTAAAGGGGCACACCAGCCCAGGGGCAAGGACTAGAGGGCAGGAGGGGACAGGAAAGCTGGTAATAGGGAACCCAAGGTCAAGAAGGAAGAGTGTTGATATGTTGTGGGATTGTTAACCAATGTCATAAAACAACATGCGTACTAACTGTTAATAAGAATCTAGTTTGTTCTGTAAACCTTCACCTAAAGTACAATAAAAGAAGAAAATAATAATAACAGAGTACAGATTATATTTAAAATTGAATCATATCTCAGCTATAAAAAGCATGAATGCAGAATTTTACTATTATTTATGAAGGCTTACAATGAACTCACTCAACAAATTAAACACCTACTATCTATAGTCCGGGCCCAACAAGAAGAGTGGTTATTGCATACCCTTTCCTCAGCACAGCAGTGGAATTATTTGGATTAAGTTTGAGAGATTTCTTTGCATCAGCAACAGCATCTGTATACAAAAAGACAGGAATTTTTTAGTCAGTTACTTACAAACACAAATACTACACCTAATTTGAATCACTCTTATATTTTTAAGTCTTTAAGTCTGTGAAGAGGCCAACTGGTTTTAAATTAGGAAAAGCTAACCCAAGATATAATTCAATTCAAATAAATATTACCCGCAAAAGTCACATTTCTTACTATTAGCCTAACATGCAGCTTCCTTCTCAAAGCTCTTCAGTCAATGAACAAAGCTCTGTCACAAAGTTCACTTCATCTTCTCATTAACACCATTTATATAATTTGACTCAAGGTATTTAATTTCTCCCTACCAAGATTCTTTATTCAGAATAATTTTTTAAAGTTACACAACTTTTTATATAAAATGCAAACAAGAGCTTTTCATTTAAATACTCCATAAAACAGTAAATGTTATATGTGATGCTATTCTTTATTATCATATCCAATCACCACAAACGAAATCTGTATAAATTCTCCACCCACTGAAGGAAAAATAGTAAACATCTAAATGGGTGTTGCTCAACAATGTTTTGATCACATTTCAGTTACTTCACTCCTATTTAATTCATTTTGTTTTTGTCTTGGGCAGGATTTATAATTAACTTATGAAAAAAGAGACAATATACTTTGTAAGAAAAGTTACCACAGTAATTTCCAAGAAGAATGTGACAATAAGCTCTTTGACAATAATACTGGGCATCATCTGGTTTCTGTTCCAAAGCCTTAGTCAGCTCCTACAAATACAAATGCCATGTCAGTAAATGTTTTTTAAAAGCCATCGAATTCTAATTAAACATGGTTTTTCTTCATATAACCTATTATAAATTATCTGGAGGAAAGACAGCAGGGAAACAAGCTTGGGAGCTTTTCCTTATAAGAGCATCATGATCTTCCCTTCTCCCCCCACCTGACCCCATCCCCTGAAAAACATGTGAAGAGTTTAGTTCATAAACATTAACCATCACAGATCTTTTCCATCTAATTTGAGAAGACTCAAAGATCATGTAGAATTTGAGATGCCTAGAAAAAGAAAAAAAAACCTGGAAGTTAAGTCTAGAGCACAGGGCAGTTAACAGAATCAATAAACACATAATCAAGCTTACCTGCCACTCTCCTATTTTCTCTCAATGGCAGACAATCCTAATAGATTACAGCATTCTGTTCAGGGCCCAGATAAAATACAATGTCTCATAAGTGGTTGTTGTTGCTGTTAGATGTCGAGTTGGCCTCAATTCATGGCAACCACATGACAGATTTTTGGAAGTAGATCACCAGACCTTTCTTCCTAGTGTTAGTCTGGAAGCTCTGCTGAAACTTGTTCAGCATCAGAGAAACATGCAGGCCTCCACTGACAGATGGGTGGTGGCTGTGTTTGAGCACTGGCTGGGAACTGAGCCCAGGTCTCCCCCATGAAAGGCGAGAATTCTACCACTGAACCACCACTGTCCTCTGTATCTCATACGTAGCTACTACCAATTGATCAAGAAATTAAACTTTTGCCACCCTGGCAGTCACGGTTTATAGGAAGCTGGAACAATAACGGTGCAAGAGTGCGCACAATTAATGATGCCAAGGGCAATGAAGACAAACAGGAACACTTTTATTCACTACCCACTACCCCCATACACCCTAGGGATATGGCAGTTTTCTTAAAAGGTAAAATTATTTCAAAAGCCATACGTGTCATGGACTTTGCTTTGTAGTAGTGATTCTCACAAAGCAATGTAAACCATAATTTATGAGATTCACAATGTACCTAAAATCCAAACCACTTTTGACCATCTTTATCCCTATCATCCTGATCCAAGCAATAATGTAAATCAGATCTTATCACTATGTCTCTGCTGCAAACTCTCCAATGACTTCCTATTTCACTCAGAGCAAAAGCTTAGGTCCTTCCAATGAACTACAAGGCACTCCTTGATATGACCCCTTGCTATTTTGCTGCTTTCATCTCTTACTTAATTCTTCCCTTGCTCTCCCATTCTAGCCACAATGGTCTCCTTACTGTCCCTCAAACACCTCAGAACTCTGCACCGGCTGCTCCCTCTGACTAGAACGCTCTTCCCTCACATGTGCACAGAATTCATTCTCTCGCTTCCTAGTTAGTGATAAGACTGTCAGAGACAGGATTCAAAATCAGGTCTTACTCTAAAGCTGCTTTTAACCACTAAACAACACTGCCTCCTGGTTACATTTATTTACTCCCAAATTTCTCTCACACATCATCTGACATTGCATTAACATAATGTTTTCTAATATTTTCAAATTCTGAAATTAAGCACTACTATCTTGCAACACTCAAACAACTTGGAATACAGCTGATAATTTCTTACCTACTCTTCAAACCAAACTTCTAACCCCTCCACAAAAAGAAAAGAGGTATATTACGGGTCAAAAAGGATTTAACAGTCCATACCTGACCCGCTGCTGTCAGTCGATTCTGACTCAGAGGACCCTATAGAGTAGAATTGTCTCCATAGGCTTTCCAAGGAATGGCTGGTGGATTTGAACTGCCAACCTTTTGATCAGCAGCCGAGCTCTTAACCACTGCACCACCAGGGCTCCTTTACAGGCTGTAACTAAGTAAAACTAGGCTATACTGGTATCTACATGATTAATTCAAAAAGTATTTCTAAATACCTATTATGTACAGAAATAGACCAGACACTGGAGGTACAAAGATAAATACAATATTCCTTTTCTTAAGGAGTCCAGTAAAAGCTTCTGAATTTTCAAAGAACATTTAAAAACACAACCCAATTGTTAGTTCAGGAGGACCAGTTATGGTAATTCAGATGAATAAACTAAGCAAATGACTTTAAAAAAAAGTTTCAAAACATACTGAGCACAAACTTAACATTACTGGCACACAGACTTGTAAATCATGAATAAAACACAATAATCAGTTTATTTTGAATACGCAATACAAAACATAAGAAAATGTCATAAAAAAGTGAAGTCAAAGTATGATTTGTGAAGAACTGACACCAATACTATTGAAACTCTTCCAAAAGATGGAAAAGGAATACTCTCTTATTCTAAGAAACAAACATAACCCTGATACTCAAACCAGACAAAGACACCACAAGAAAAGAATACTATAGGTCAGTATTGCTTATGAATATAGATGCAAAAATACTAGCAAACAGAATCCAACAGCAGATTAAAAGGGTCATACATCATGACCAAGTGGGATTTATTCCAGGAATGCAGGGATGGTTCAACATTAGAAAATCAATCAACATAATACATCACATCAATAGAAGGAAAAGAACCACACTATGCAGTAAACGCATTTGATAAATCCAACACCCTTTCTTGATGAAAACCCTAACGAAGACTGGAATAGATGGGAGATTCCTCAACATGATTCAGTGCATATATGAAAAGCCAACGGTCAACATCATACTTAATGGAGAAAGACTGAGAGCTTGCCCCTTGAAATCAGAACAAAACAAGGGTGCCTGCTCTCACCACTTCTATTCAATACTGTATTAGAAGTCCTAGCTAGAGCAACAGGACAAGAAAAAGAAATAAGAGGTATCCAGATTGGAAAAGAATAAGTAAAATTATCTCTATTCACAGACAATATGATCCTATATACAAAAAATCCTAAAGAGTCCACAAGAAAACTTCTAGAGCTAATAGAGGAATTTAGCACAGGTGCAGGGTACAAGGTGAACACACAAAAATCAGGTGGGTTTCTATATACCAGCAATGAGAAATCTGAAAGCGAAATCAGGGAGACTACTCCATTTACGGAGCCCTAGTGGTGCAGTGGTTAAGAGCTCAGGTTGCTAAGCAAAACAACAGTAGTTCAAATCCACCAGTCGCTCCTTGGAAGCCTCATGGGGCAGTTCTACTCTGTCCAGTAGGGTCACTATGAGTCAGAAACGACTCAGTAGCAATTGGTTTTGTTTTTTGCTGTTGTTGGTTATTCCATTTACAATAGCGTCTCAGAGAATACAATATCTAGGAATAAATTTAACCAGAGATGTGAAAGACTTATACAATGAAAACTACAAAACACGGCTGAAAGAGATTCAAGAAGACTTAAGTAAATGGAAAGATGTTCCATGTTCATGGATTGGAAGACTTAATATTGTTAACATATCAATACTACCCAAAGCGATCCAGATTCAATGTAACCTGATCAAAATCCCAACAGCCTTCTTTACAGAACTAGAAAAACCAATCCTCAACATTATATGGAATGGCAAGAGGCCCCAAATAGCTAATATTGAAAAAGAACAAAGTAGGAGGATTCACACTTCCTCATTTTAAAATATAATATATAGCTATAGTAATCAAAACAGCCTGGTACTGGTATAACGACAGACACATAGACCAATGGAAAAGAACTGAGAGTCCAAAAATAAACCCACACATCTATGGTCAACTGATTTTTTACAGAGGTGCTAAGTCCATTCGACAAGGAAAGAAGAGCTTCTTATATAAATGGTGCTGGGAAAATTGGATTTCCACATGCAGAAAAATGAAACAGGATACACATCTCACACCATACACAGAAACAAATTCAAAATGGATTAAGTACCTAAATGTGCAAACTAAAACCATAAAATTCTTAAAAGAACAGCGGGGGCATACTACGAGGCCTAGCATTCAATAATGCATTATTTAAAATAGTAAAAAAAAAGCAAACATCAAAAGACAAATGAGACCTCATAAAAATTAAAAACTTTTGTTCATCAAAAGACTTTATCAAAAAAGTGAAAGGACAAGTTACCGACTGGGAAAGTATCTTCAGAAACCATATATTCGACAACAATCTAATAACTGACATATAAAACTTAAGACAACTTTACCACAAAAATAACCCAATCATAAAATAAGCAAAGGACCTGAACACACATTTCATCAAAGAGGACATTCAAATGGCCATCAAACACATGAAAAGATTCTCAACGTCATTCACCATCAGAGAGATGCAAATCAAAACCACAATGAAATGCCATTTCACTCCCATTAGGATGGCTCAGCTGCTAACCAAAAGGTCACCAGTTCAAATCCACCAGACGCTCCTTGGAAACCCCATGGGGCAGTTCTACTCTGTCCTATAGGGTCACTATGAGCCAGAATCGACATGACAGCAATGGGTTTGGTTTTGGTTTAGGATGGCTAAGGTAAAAGAACATAAAATAACAAATGTTGGCAAGGATGTGGGGCAATTAGAGCCCTTATCCATTGCTGGTGGGAATGCAAAAGTGGTATAGCCCGTGTGGAAATGCGTGGCTGTTCCTTAAAAAAACTAAAAATAGAACTATCATGTGACCCATCAATTCCACTCCTAGGTATATACCCAAAAGACTTGAAAGCAGAGACTCAAATAAAGATTTGTACACAAATCTTCACTGCAGCATTATTTGCAACAGCAAAAAGGAGGAAACAATCTAAATGTCCATCAACAGATGAACAGATAAACAAAATGCGGTACAAACACACAATGGAATACTACTCAGCCAGAAGGAGAAATGAAGTCTTGATATATGCTACAGTATGGATAGAGTGGGAAGACATTAGGCTGAGCGAAATAAGCCAATCACAAAAGGACAAATATGGTATGACCTCACATATAAAAGACAAGAAAAAGCAAATATACAGAGACTGATGTTTATTAGTGCTTCCCAGGCAGGAGGGAGGGGGAAGAAGAGAATTAACAGTGATGGAAAAATTGCACTGATTAAAGGTAGGGTGGCACAGCCGATTACTG